GGCAAAGACTACAACACCCTATCTAGAAAAGAGCTGAAGCAAAAAAATGAGGGAGGCAGGAGCATGGCTCAAGCATAGGCTGACTAGCACGTCCAAGCATAGGCTGACTAGCATGTCCAAGTATAGACTGACTAGCATGTCCAAGCATAGGCTGACTAGCATGTCCAAGCATGTACTGACTAGCATGTCCAAGCATAGACTGACTAGCATGTCCAAGCATGTACTGACTAGTATGTCCAAGCATAGACTGACTAGCATGTCCAAGCATGTACTGACTGGTATGTCCAAGTATAGACTGACTAGCATGTCCAAGCATAGGCTGACTAGCATGTCCAAGCATGTACTACTGACTAGCATGTCCGAGTTATATACTGACTAACATGTCCAGGGCCCTGGATTTAAACCCAGTACCATTAAAAAAAAAGTTTTTTGAAACTAAAGTTGAATGCAGATTTACATCATAGTCTACCTATCCCCTGTATCATTCTTAAAGTTCATGGCCATCCTTCTTTCCAGTGATGCTAGATTCTATATTTTTCTGAATTTAGAACTTTGTAAATTCTGTGAGTTTGCTAATGTTGGAAGACTATCTTTGTTTTTTTTTCTATTCATAGCTAATTCTTATTTGTAGAATGGTGGTCATTAACTGATGATTTTTTTTCCACTAAAATGTAGATTCCTTGGGTTTGGTTTGGTCATTAACTTTTTATCATTGAGATCTAACATTGCAATAAAATGTCTTGTATCTATCATGCTAATTTTTTAATTAAAATTATTTTTGGTCTAGTTCTTAACTGTATGAAATTCTTTTGAAAGCAAAGAAGTAAAACAGCTCATAGGGCTGGATTTTACCCAGCCTGAATAAATAATTTTCTGACGGGAACAGGTTGGACATCCCTTGTTTAAAGCAGAGGTATGATTGTCAAAAGAGATTAATTCAGAATTACTGATTAGGAGGACTACTCTAATGATTTGATATTTGAGAAATCACATTTCCTCTAGTCATCCATTTTGTGTGAAGTTATACTAGAGCAGGTTTACTTTTTGTGTGGATTAATTAGCAGAAAAAGGTTTTCTTTCACATGTTTCAGACTTTTGAAAAATACTAGATAAACTTATTTGCCTTAAGTCAGGGCACTATGCATGACTGTTTTTGAGATGTGTTAGATGACTTGTAATAATTTCCAGGAGGAAATGGGTTGAAACTGAACAGTAGCGATTCCTCTCCTGTGGCGGGAGCTGCCTTCCAGAGACACCGGAGATGGAGCCGCGTTAGCCATCCCTACTTGGGCCTTTCACTTAGTGCTGCTTGTTGGATTCCCACCTATCACGTGGGGCACGGGGGGGGAGGGGGGAGGGGGTGTCTATGAAACGCAACTCTCGGGATAGGTGAGGGATCACTATTTCAATTAAAAACAAAAATCCCCTGCTACGGGGATCTAGTGATCTAGTGAGGGATCTAGTGATCTAATGAGGGATCACTGTAGCTCTCTGGTTGTCTACTGTTAAGTATTTTCAACAAATTTTCTATTTAAGACATTAAGAACATGGTAGGTAACACTTCTGTACAGTCTGAGGTAATTGTTTTTGTCGGTCGTGGGGCTTGAACTCTGGGCCTGGGAGCTGTCCCTCAGCTCTTCAGCTCAAGGCTAGTGCTCTACCACTTGAGCCACAGTGCCACTTCGGGTTTTCTAGTGGTTTATTGGAGATAAGAGGCTCACGAACTTTCCTGCAATCTCAGCCTCCCTAGTAGCTAGGATTACAGGCATGAGCCTCAGTAGCTACAGTGGGCCGCCCTGATAAAAAAGTTTTTAAAAGAAAGTGTTAATACATTTTTGTTTCACTGTTTCAGTTTATCTTTACAACTCCTCAGTTGTCTGAGGAGTAAGGCAGGTACCATTAGCCCTGTTTTTAACAACACTGGTAAGTTAATGAGAAGCTCTTAGTCACTTGGCTCACATTAAATGATCAAGTTGGAATCAACTCATGTTTGCTTCTAACTCAGTGCCCTTTTCACTACTCATCTGATAACTGATATCGGTGAGTAAGGTTCTAAAACATTGCCTAGGCTAAGTGCAGGAAGCAACCAGAATTGAAATTAGAAATATAGTAAGGTTCTACTATGTTGAGAACCTTAAGATGTTTAATGTTGTCCAGTTATTGTACTTCTTTTTGGTAATCTAAAACAATTGTATTTAAGCAAGTACTTAAAATGAAAGTCTAAATACAATATTACTTAGAAGATTGAGAATATTAATAATAATAAAATGTTCAGCAATAAAAGGATGAATGAACTTCTGTATAGCTTTACAATGAATACTGTCTAGATCTTCCTGTTGTTTTTTTGATGAGAACTTCCCATGTTGCCCAGGCTGGTCTAGACTTGAGAGCTCAAGCTGCACTTCCACCTCAGCCTCTGGAGTAGGCATGAAACAATGACATGGTAAAGTATGAACATTAAGGAAAACGTTATTGACTATGAGTATGAAAAATACGATTATATCTACACAAAAGACACCAGTGGCTCACACCTGTAATCCTAGCTTCTTAGGAGGCTGAGATCTGAGAATCGTGGTTCAGCCAGTCCTGGCAAGAAATTCCATGAGACTCTTGTATCTCCAGTAAACCACTAGAAGTGGCACTGTGGCTCAAGTGGTAGAGTGCTAGCATCTAAATCTCAATGAGGTTAGTAGTAGTCATATTTCTTTGTGTGTTTTGTGAGTGTGTGTGTGTGTTCCCTGGTCCTGGGGCTTGAAATCAATGCCTGGGTACTCTCCCTCAGCTTTTTTGGCTCAAAAGTTTTAAGATGCTTTAAAAAAATTTAGCCCTGATTATGTATTTTATAATCAATAAGATAATGAAAAAAGCCCTGTAGAAAAATTTTTTCCAGTGTTTACTAATTACATCATAGTTTAGAAAATTCTGGTAAGAAATACTAATTAATACCTGTTCAATGACTTTTTTTTTTAACCTTGTCAGTCATGGGGCTTAAAGTCAGAGCCTTGGGGTTCCCTGGACTTTTGTGCTCAAAGCTAGCACCTTACCATTTGAGCCATAGCTCCACTTCCAGCTTTTTTGGTGGTTAATTGTAGATAAGAGTCTCTTGGGCTTGCTTGCCTGGGCTGGCTTAGAACCATGTTCCTTAGACCAGAGTCTCCTGGGTTGATAGGATTGGCAGTACTCTGTCTCATTGACTTTTTAAGCAGCCTAGGCTGGGGTACTGCTTTATCTTTAATAGTAGTATATCTTATTGTTCTATTTTGAGGAAATACATATTGGCAAAAATTAAGATTTTTTTTCTCAGTAAAGGTGTGTGTGTGTGTATGTGTGTGTTTGTGTCCTGGGACTTGAACTCAGGGCCTAGACACTGTTCCTGAGCTTTTTTTCTCAAGTCTAGTGTTCTACCCCTTGAGTCACACCTCTGCTTCCAGCTTTTTACTGTTTAAGTGGAGATAAGAGTCTCTCAGACTTTCCTGTTAGGGCTGGAATTGAACCATGATCCTTAGAGCTCACCCTCCTGAGAAGCTAGGATTACAGGTATGAGTCACAAGTGTCTGGCTTAAGCTTATTTTTTTAAGTGAAATTTACAGTATAGCCCCTGAAAAACCAGAAAATCTTATTGTTGTCACTCTTGTTTTATTTTTTATTTTATTATTTTTATTTTTTGCAGGTCTTGGGACTTGAACTCAGGGCCTGGGCACTGTCCTTGTGCTTCTTTGCTCAAGGCTAGCACTCTACCACTTGAGCCACAGCGCCACTTCTGGCTTTTTCTGTTTATGTGGTTCTAAGGAATCAAAACCAAAATCATGCATGCTAGACAAGCACTCTGCCACTAAGCCACATTCCCAGCCCCATCACTCTTGTTTTAAATAACTAATTTGATCATTGTCCAAAGACTAGAGTGTAAAAGGTGTAACTACATTTTCTTTTCATAGCAAAAATTTTGCTGAGAAATAAAATGTATTTGTGTACGTTTTTTTCCTTGTGAGAACTTCATAGGCTTCATTGAATGTAGGTTCATTAGTTACTTAGTAAAACTTACTGTGGTAAGTATTCATCTTTCTAGAAGTAGTAACCTTTTCATAATGAAAAGGCTTTTTATATGATTGTCCTAAATTTTCACTGAAAAAACATTTTTATTAGAAGTATAATATTTGAACATTTTAAGAAACTTAAATGTTCTTTACACAGTGTAAAAGTGCTTAAAATTGTTCATTTTCAGAACATGAGGAAACATTAAATAGGATAGAATACTTTTCAAAAAATTAGAATGTTCTTTGTCTTCAGTGGGTTAGTGTTCTTTTGAATTGGAGTTATATGTGAAACAATATATTAGTATTAATTTTCACATAATGTCTGAAAGAAAAATTACAAGCTTGGAGTAATGGGCATGGGGGCATGGCTCGCCTGACAGAGTGCCTGCCTAGTGCTGCCAGACTGCTAACATTACAGAAAGTGGGGCGGGGGCATGTGGCACTGGGGGCTGACTACTCAGGAAGCTGAGATCTGAGAATCGAGGTTCATAGGCAGGTCTGGGCAGGAAAGGCCGATGAGATTCACCTCCAACAGACTACCTCAGAAAAGGCTGGAAATGGCTCTGTCGTTCAAGTGGTAGAGCTATTGCCTTGAGCAAAAGAAGCTCAGGTACAATTCCTAGGCCCTGAGTTCAAACCCCAGGACCAGCATTTAAAAAGAAGTGGGGGCAGGAGGGATTGAGGAGAGAGGAGAAGAAAGGGGAAGGAGAAAAAAGATGTAATTTTAATTTAGGAGAAAAGGCTGATAAATTTAGGACATTGATTATTTAAGATTTAGGTGTGGTGTTGGGGACAGTGGAAGGTCCAGATTCGGAATCTCTTCCTAGGTCAAAGGATTTAAGAGATGAATAAATGGTAATGCATGGTTAAATTAAAATGCAGCATAATGCTATCTCTGGTTGATTTTATATTTTGGATGCCCAATAGATGACTTAACATTTTTTCTTTTCTTTTTTTTTTTTAAAGTCGGAGCACCATAACATGGTGTGGGAAGTAAAGACAAATCAGATGCCTAATGCAGTACAGAAACTCCTGTTGGTAATGGACAAGAGAACTTCAGGAATGAATGACTCATTGGAGTTGTTGCAGTGTAATGAGAACTTGCCATCCTCACCTGGCTATAACTCCTGTGATGAACACATGGAGCTTGGTAAACAATATTAAAAGTTATTTAGGAACCTAAGATTCAGATTTATTTTCATATTTAATCTGCTTTAATCTACATTTTCTGTCAAAAATATTGAAGGTTTTGTATATTAGGAATTTTCATCATTCTTCTCTTGCTTTTCGAATACTACTTAAAACCAGTATGACCAAGCTACTTATCATAGATACTCACTGATAAATTATTAGCTAAATATGTGAAGACCAAACTACTAAACACCTTAGGAAAATCCTGCTGTCCTATGTTTTTTTTAAGATATTACTGTGAAATTTCCTAGAGAGACTTTACAATTGATTTGTTAGTATAATTTAAAAATGACATTGGTCCTTTGAAGCTCAAGGATTTGACATGTGTGATGGTCACTCATGCTGAGCTAAACTAGAGATGATGTAGCCTGTAATGCTGTGTAGGTTAGTAAAGTAGTTTTGTTCTGAGGCTAATGTTCAAGAAGAAATAGGTAATGAGTGCCCTTGGCTTGCTGCCCAGCTTTTCAGTGTGGCTTTGTCTACATTTAATATATAGTTACCTTCAGTGTTCATAAAAACTCTGAGAATGTATGACTGTATTTTACAAGTGATGAAAGAGTAGAGAAGATGTGAGAGTACTGTTTGGGAATTTAGAGATCCTAAAAGTCTTTGAGCATAACCTGTTGAAATGGACAAGAATTTTCTGGACCTTGATCTTACAGGGAGGGTACTGTTGAACAAGGAATATCATTTTAATCAAGAGTGGATTGTTCACCACCATGTTACGGGTTTCAGGAAGAAAACTGGCCCCCAGGGAGCCAGAACCTTGCCCCTTCCATTTAAAAAGTTAAATTTCTGAATGTAAAAGACAGAAATAAATGAAGAAAGTATGTTAAAAGGTTTCTGGCAGTGAGGGAAGGGAAATAGCTACATCAGTATGAGAATTAGAAGATGTGGAAATTATTTTAAAATGTTACGGTATTTTAGAACTCTGGCTATCCCTATGAGCATGGATACCTTTTAGTCAGTTTGAAGAATGGATATTTTGAGTTATTACTTCTAATTAAAGTATTTTAGTTTTTAGGAGACTATTCTAGAACATATTTCTGAATATGAGCTATATACTTTTATAATCACATCTAGGTGACCTGTAGAGTTTTCTTGTCTTATTTATTTAAGGGACCCATTGGATCTATAGAATTTGTTGATATGTGTTTCATAGAGATTGATATTTTGTTTTTAAATGTCTTCAAAATTCTTTTTCAAAACTCTTTAAAAAAAGAGAATCCTTTTTTTTCTTTTTTTTTTTTTTTTGGGGTCCAGTCGTGGGGCCTGAACTCTGGGCCAGGGCGCTGTCCCTCAGCTCTTCAGCTGAAGGCTAGCGCTCTACCACTTGAGCCACAGCGCCACCTCTGGCTTTTTTCTTTTTGCTTATGTGGTGCTGAGGAATTGACCCCAGAGCCTCGAGCATGCAAGGCAAGCGCTCTACCACTGAGCCACCTTCCCAGCCCCCCTTTTTTTTCTTAATTCAGTGTTTCTTGTAAATATTGATTTGAATAGAATTTCAGTATTTTCTTAGAAAGGCTGAAAAATCTAGCATCTTTCTTTAGAAAAGGCATTTAAAGGAAAAGTAACCATAACTGAATTCAGAATTAGTGGTAGAGTGCTTGTTTAATACACATGAAGCCCTGGGTTTGATCCCCAGCAGTGTGAACAAAACAAAATAAAAACAAAAAAAATTCTAACACTTATTTGTGAAAGTTCCTAAAAATTAATAATAGAATTTTTTATTTTCATCTTTGGAAAATTTCAATATTGCAATTTATGTAACAATATAGGATATAAATATTAATTTAATATTTGTACACATATAGGGCTTTTTTCCCTCATTAACCTGCTATATAAGAATGTCTCAGAGGTATATAAATCATTCTTAGGTGCGGCACAACAAATGGGGCAAAAGGACAGGGAAAAACCTGTTTTTCTATGCTGTGAACACTTGAGATAATTGCGTGGTTTAAGTGATGAACATTGCTTTGTTCACTTTTCCATCAGGCTCTACGGATTCCTGAATGTTCTTCCTAAGTTACAGGTTATTAAAGAAAACATAATTGGATTTAATCTTAAATATGTAATTTTCCTCTCACAAAATCAGATAAATTTGAGGGCTTCTAGCTACAGTTAGAATATTGTTCATTATTATATCATTTTTTTTATAATTTTGAGTGTGCTTATTTGCAGATGACCTTCCTGAACTTCAGGCTGTTCAAAGTGATCCTGCCCAGTCTGCCATCTACCAGCTAAGTTCAGATGTTTCACATCAAGAATACTCAAGACCATCTTGGAACCAGAATACCTCAGACATATCGGAAAATACTTACCGTGAAAATGAGGTGGACTGGCTCACAGAATTAGCAAATATTGCCACCAGTCCACAAAGTCCACTTATGCAGTGCTCATTTTATAACAGGTGGGAGTATTGCCTGTATTTTTATTTAAAAGGATCATACAAAAACTGTTAATTACTTGAAATGTTTCCAATTTTAAAATAACATTATTAGCTATCTAATGAATGATTAACTGAAAACAAAGTCATTAGAATTTAAGGACTTTATAATGGCATGATTCCATATTTAGGATTAAAGATTCTGTAAGAAAAATACTATAAGAATTTTTTGTAAATGTGTAAAAGTCATGAAAATACATGAAGCGATACTTTTACTGTATATTTATTTCTACTTTTATAAATAAAAATTGTATTTGTTTTAAAAAGCCATAATTATAATAAGCATTGTATTTTAAACTTCTTAGTTTCCTTTGCTCTAGATTTGATATTTCCACAACGTAGGCAGCTCTTTATCTTTCTGCTAATTTTAAAATCTTAAGAACTTAAAAGCAGATTGTATTGCTAAAAACCACTATTTCATGTGTATAAGTTAGAGATTAAGAAAATGAGTTGCTGTGCTGTGAAATTATGGAAGCTTTCAACCGATATTCCTAGGGAGACATGGGTAAATAACATTTCATTAAAAGACTTGGATTAAAAATATAGTCAGTTGTAATAGAGTCCTGCCTAGGTTTGTACTCTGTTGGTAGAAAGTGATAGACCAAAGTGCACTAAGTAATGTGGGAATAACCATGAATCTTGGTACTATTCTTGATTTACTATAATGCTTTGCTAAAGAGTAAACCTCAGGTATGGAATCCTAGATGCTGCTTTTCTTCTATTTATCAGGATGCAGCTTTGATTAGCACAAATTCAGTTTAGTTAATTTTAGTTTAATTCCATGTAAATTTTCACAGGGGAGAAAGTTTTCAGAGAATTACTTTTTAGTCCCACTTTCCATTACAGTTGTCGGAAAAAACCTAGTTGTTTTACATTAAATAAATAACCTTGACTTACTAGTCAAGGTTACTTCTAGTTAGATGATACTTTTTAGTTTTTGCAAGGAAATTATAAGAAGATTCATAATGTAGTTCATAGGAAGTGAGTAAAAGCTTCAGAAGAAATTTAGTATAAATAATTTGAACATTGTGGCATGTTCTGTAAATTCAGAACTTGGGAAGGCTGAGAACCATGAGTTTAGGCTTGCCGGGCTATGCACTGAAATGCTATCTCTAAAAACCACAAAGAAAATGTGGGTATAAAGAGATGTCTTCCTAAGTATGTAATTTTACTCTGTAGTATTTTCTATGCTTCCCTTAGCATAGAGTGAAGTTCTGCTGTCTTGCCCATCTTATAATATTGTCAATGGCTGTTCATGCATTATTGTGCTTTATCCGCAGCCATAACTATAGTACAAAGGGGTTGAGAATGGGTAAAATTTATATTCTTGCATAGGTAGAGGGATGAGAGATTGATGTTATTTGTATTTAGACATGTTTAGCATGTTAATTTTTATGTAGGTTGCATTTTTTTTTGGTGGGAGGGTGCTGGGATCTAACCCAGGGACTTGTAGATTTTAGAAAAATGCTCTACAACAAAGCTTGTATCCCCAGCTTACCACATCACATTGTTTCTTGTATTTTATTTTTGTTTTTATATTTAGTTTTATTTTTTGAGACAGATTTTTATCATGTAGCTCAGCATAAGTGTAAACTTGTAGTCGTCCTGCTTCTGTCTCCTGAGTGCTAGAATTAACAGATGTGAACTTGTTATTTCTATTTTAAGTAGTTGTATGGAAACACTTAATCCTTAGTGAGTCGTACTGAGTACATCAAAGTAGAAGAAAAGATGTATAGGGTGCTCTACACAAGGTATTACTGTTCACAAATGAAAGCACACATTTATATATGTTCAGATAAAACTGAATAGGAACTAGGTATGATGGTACATGTTTGTAATCCCAACACATGAGAGGCTGAGACAGGAGGATCTCAAGTTTAAGGCTAGTTTGGGCTACATGGTAGATACTGTCTCAAAAAAAAATTTTAATGGGATAAATGAATAGTAGCAGTGATTAAAGCTTGTTGTTAAATCTGATGTGAAGAGGGTTTTAGGTAGGAAGTTGAGTTTAGGAACAGCATATTTTTACAATTGAAACTTTGCTGTCTATATTAAAGTTTGCCATAGCTGTTTTATATGTAATAACTCTGGTACTTGGACTATGGTGTTCTTTTAATCACAAAGACAGTTTTACTGTAATGACCTCTGTGTTATGGCAAAATCTGCTTTGTTTTAGATCATCTCCTGTACACATCATAGCTACTAGCAAAAGTTTACATTCCTATGCACGCCCTCCACCAGTGTCATCCTCTTCAAAGAGTGAGCCAGCCTTCCCTCACCACCACTGGAAGGAGGAAACACCAGTAAGACATGAAAGGGTGAGTTTAGTCATGAGGTTAAACTTTTATGAAGCTTATATAACAGTTGAGAAAGTATGCTTTGTTTCATTACATTATTTGAAAGCTCATGAGAAAAAGAAATATTAAAAGATCACTATGAAGGCCAGCAGCAGTAGCTCATACCTGTAATCCTAGCTACTTAAGAAGGCTGAGAATTGAGGTTCAAAGCTATCCTGGGCAGAAAAGTCTTTGAGATTCCATCTTCAGTTAACCAGCAGAATGCTAGAAAGGCGGTCTGGTATGGCTCAAGCAGTAGAGCCCTAGCTGTGAGCAAGTAAACCAAACTAGAGTGTGAGGTCTTAAGTTCAAGTCCTTGGACTGGCTAAATAAGTCAATAAATCTAAAAACAACAAAAAAAGGCTTATAATTTGTTTTTTCCACAGGCAAATAGTGAATCAGAATCTGGCATTTTCTGCATGTCCTCCCTATCAGATGATGATGATTTAGGGTGGTGCAATTCCTGGCCTTCAACTATTTGGCACTGTTTTTTGAAAGGTACAAAAAAATACTTGACTGTTTCTTAGCTTATCTAGTACATGAGTCACATATCTAAATCTAATACTTGTTTTCTAATTAAACTTTAGGCACACGACTGTGCTTTCATAAGGGAAGCAGTAAGGAATGGCAGGATGTTGAAGACTTTGCTAGAGCTGAAGGCTGCGATAATGAGGAAGATCTTCAAATGGGAAATCACAAGGTTAATTTAAAATTCTTTAAGGCTTCCCCCCCCCCAACCTTTTAAAATGAAACAAAGTTTGTTAGTCTTTCTACTTGCTTTCATTTTAAGGGATATCTTTACATTTAGGTAGAGGTTTTATGACCACTCATTGTTGCTTAGCCTGATAGACAAAAGCAGTGACTTTAGGTTTACCTTACTAGTTAGATTTTTCTTTTCTTTACTTTTTTTTTTTTTTTTTGGTCGGTCATGGGGCCTGAACTGCTGTCCCTCAGCTCTTCAGCTGAAGGCTAGCACTCTATCACTTGAGTGTCAGCCCCACTTCTGGCTTTTTCTGCTTATGTGGTGCTGAGGAATCGAACCCAGGGCCTCAGGCATGCAAGGCAAGCACTCTACTGAGCCACCTTCCCAGCCCTAGTTAGATTTTTCTTACATGGGATGGATAAAGAGTTAGCCCTTTTGTTTTTTGGTGTATTTTATACATTACTCATTGGCGAAAACTAAACTGGCATTACTAAAGACAAGTAGTGAATAAATAAAGCTACAGAAGAGAATCATGATTCTCAGTCATTTTTGCCTGCTACTTATCTGCCCACAATGACAAATACAGACAAGGTTCTGCCCTCTTCTTCCACCAGTGTGTCTGTCAACTGGTAATGTCAGCAGCATCTTTGCCCATCCTGTAGACAGCATTCTGATGTTGGGCCCTCGTCTAGCTCTTCTAGCATCTTTGTTGTATGACTGGTCTTAGAGTTCCTCTCTCTCTGCACTTTGGCTTCTTGATCTGAAAAGTAGGAGTGGATCTTTATTTTTATTTTTTTGGTCAGTTGTGGGGCTTAAACTCTTGGCCTAGGCACTGGCAAGCATTCTACCATTTAAGCCACAGCGCCATTTCTGGTTTTCAGGTGGTTAATTGGAGATAAGAGTCTCATGGACTATCCTACCTGGGCTGGCTTTGTACCATGATTCTCAGATCTCAGCCTCCTGAGTAGCTAGGATTACAAGTGTAAGCAACTGGCACCCGACTTGGATTATTTTAAAAATCTTATATATCTCTTAAGAATTAGAAGATTCTGTAATTTGATTATTTATAAACATGTTGGTAACTTCACCTGCAACTTTTCAGTTGTATATTAGACATTGCCACGTGAATAATAGTGTTTTTCAAGTCCAGTTTAATATGATCCAAATTGCACTAATACTATTTTTAGACTTACTTTCCTTCTATTCTTTTAAAGAGATTTTTTATTCTTGATGACTAGATTCTAAACAATGAAATTGTCTTTTATTGTATTCTCTTTCCTCCTTTCATATTTAGTTGATAATTTTTTCATAAAGATTTTCCAATAGCCATTCTTTCTCATTCACATCTTTGTCATGTAATAGTATAATTATTGGATGTTATAGCTAGCTGTTGGTATGTTTATTTTTCTGTGAATTCAAGGGTAATACTCATATCTTTTTTCATGTTCATATTTTCAGATTACCACCTGGCATGTTTTATAATGAGGACTATAATGGGAGGTTTTATAACCTCAAATAATAAGAGAGTTCCCTTTGCAGTAATTTTCATAAAATTGGCAAAAGTATTTCTTCCACTGGTGTCAGGGTCTCATGCTTGCTAGATAAGTGCTCAGCCACTTGAGCCAAGCCCTCAGTAGTCTTTTGGTTTTTGTTTTTTTTTTTTTAGTTCTTCAGATAAGTGTCTCTTCATTTTCCCTGGGTTAGGCTTGGACTATAATATTCCTATGTGTGCCTCTTGAGTAGCTGGGATTACAGGCATGCACCATCATGCCTAGCCCATGATTTTCCCATCCTCCTAAGTGAAAGGATTAAATACTTTTCCTAAAGTCTTTAAGATTGCTACTGTAATTAGACTGTCCTTTTCATATTTATTTGTCCCAAATCTGTACGTAACCTTGTATGGTAGCAAATACTCAGAACTCCTCAAAGAAATTGTTAAATGCAACGGTTACTGGTCCAAGGGATTTGCTTGTACCTTTCTGCCTTGGTTCTACCTTTCTTGTCTTTTACATCCCAATACAAATGGAGCTGAAAGTCTTACCCTCTTTTAGAATATCTTATTAAACTCCACCAGCATTGTTTATACTTGAGCTAAAATAATTTATTCTAGTCTGCCTTATGTATTGTAGATACTTAATATATGTGTCTTTCTTCATTGCTGGATCTATTATTCTTTAAGCCAAAGATCCTGTTTTGGTTATTTTTGCCTTTTCTCCAGTCTTACATATAAGGAAAGCTTTACTGCTTGTTGAATTGAACATTTCCAATTCATTCATTATGTGCATATATTTTCAGGGCTATGGTTCTGATGGTCTAAAGTTGTTATCCCATGAAGAAAGTATATCATTTGGTGAATCTGTACTGAAGTTGACTTTTGACCCTGGTACAGTAGAAGATGGCTTACTTACTGTAGAGTGTAAGCTGGACCACCCTTTCTATGTTAAAAACAAAGGTAGGGCTTCAATTGAATTCATAGTACCTTTTTGTGTCTTGTGGCTTTGGTGATTAAGAAGAAGTTTTGAAGGGAAAATTTATTTCAAACAAAATACAATTACCATAAGAAATGTCTCCAGTAATACGCATGTTAACGTATCTTAGCAGTTACTTCCTATGAGTTTGAGATAATTCAGAGTTAGGTATATCTTTCTGGAGTTAGCTTTTAGTTATAGTGGTATAGTTTGGGGACTAGAGTATTCAGGAAATCACAGTTTGGTTTATATTGCCAAATATACTTACATAAACCCGAATCACCCTTAAGAGCAATAATACCATGTTAAGCATAATTTACTAATTTAGAGATGGTTTTATGACCAGTATATTATTTACCACTATTTTGTAGCTTATTAAAAGTTCTGATTGATATACCCTAAAAGATAATGTAATTCTGAAATAAAGTACTTTTGTAGGGCTTTCACATTGTTGAAAGGCTAATCTGGTTCTTACTCTGTTGTAAAGAAAGTTTCTGTATTAGAAAATCTTTTGACTTTAAAGAAGTAACTCTTTTAAGAGTGTAGAAATTTAGAGTGCTTTCTGTAAATTCTCATTCTTTATGCAATTATTGTTTAATTTTAGGTTGGTCATCATTTTACCCAAGTTTGACTGTGGTACAACATGGCATTCCATGTTGTGAAATTCATATTGGTGATGTATGTCTACCTCCTGGACACCCTGATGCCATTAATTTTGACGATTCAGGTGTATTTGATACATTTAAAAGGTAATACTGAATTCTTTTTTTTTCCATTAAATTTTTATCTTTAATTTCACTAGTGATTAGTAGGCAAACAATTAGGAAGTTAGAACTTTTAAAAAAGGTTTGAGGAATTGGCTCTGTGGATCAGTTGGTAGAGCGCTTACGTAGAGCTGAAAAACTGAGGATAGTGCCTAGGCGCAGAGTTCAAGCTCCACATGGACAGGAAAAAAAAAAGGATTGAGAAGTATAAAGGAACAATTTAGAGAAAAGTACAATTACGTGTATTTTATAGAGTAGTCATATAGAAAAGATGTATTTATAAAACAGTATCAAATGTTATATGAACAAGAACTTAATAGATCACCTTTGAAAGTTGCATTAAAATCATCTGTTAATCACAACCCACAAATCTTTGTAATTTTTTTTATAGTTAACTGCATCATTTTTGTGTGTGTGTGCTGGTACTGTGGCTTGAATTTAGGGCCTGGGTGCTGTTCCTCAACTTTTTCACTCAAGATACTTAATTGTACCTTTGTTTATTATCCATTTTGACCCTGGCATTAGTTTCATATTTTAATAAGTAATAAAACTGGTAAAAATTTGACATTAGGAAAGACTTAGGAAAGTGGTTTTTTCGAGGTCACTTTGCTATTAAGTGACATAAAATGACTGTTAGGAAAATGAAGGAGAAAGGAAGGAAACAGGCTAGACTCAACTTCCACAGGCGAGGACTGTTTATTGGGACACAGCCTTCCCATGTGTAAAGGAGCTGGGACAGGGGCTGGGTTTATATGAGATCTGAGCAAGGAGGCAGAGGTTAATGAAAAAGCCACTAGCTCAAGAGAGGTGGGCTGCCCATGATGGAATATTTACAGCCAGACTTAGATAGATTGCTCTGCTGGAGTCAGGCAATCTGTACTTATCTTTGGTGGGTTGCCTGGTATCTGTATGCCCATGGGAAAACAGGGTGAGGACCAGTCCTTCATATTCCATCTTTGGATACATAGAATGGGCCTAGAGGCAAGTCCTTCAATGACATAACCCAGATGGTGACCGTGGCTCACTTCTGTAATCCTACCTACTCGGGAGACTGAGTCTGAGAACCACAATTGGAAGCCAGCCCAGGTAGGAAAGTCCATGAGACTCTCTACCTCCAATTAACGATCAGAAAACCAGAAGTAGCACTGTGGCTCAAAATGGTAGAGCACTAGCCTGGAGCAAAAAAAGCTCAGGGACATGCTCAGGTACTGAGTTCAAGCCCCAGGACCTACAAAAAATAAATGACATAATCCCTAAATTCTAACTCTCAGAAAGGCTGACCAGCTGTCTTAGTTTATATGAGACTGGTTTTATCACTAAAAGCCCAGAATCCCTGGAAACCTTTCAGTTTTTTTTTTTTTTTTTGTCAGTCGTGGGGCTTGAACTCTGGGCCTGG